AGACGTGGGCGGTGGGCCGCCGAAACGAATCACATCAGAACGCGCCGCGATGAGAAGTGCGGGCGGTGCGCCGCCAATGCGCATGGCATCCCCTCCCGATCCCCCCCCCGCCATTCCCGCCCCCTCTCTCCTACCCCCCAGGCTGCGCGGGTTGAGCTCGGTGATGAACGGCCTTCTCGGTCGCCTGGCGCCTGGCGAAACACTGTGCTGAAGAAAACCTGCGCGTTTTTCGGTTTCCGACCCCCTTTTCAAAAAACAGACGAAAAAGCAGACTTATCGGACTTAAACTTATCTTATTTATAAGTATAACTACAAGTAACTTATAAGTATGGCAATTGGGTGCACACAAGTAACATATGTTCTACATGTGATTTAAGTATATATGTTAATGAATTAAGTTAGATGTGGATGGTAGTTGCAGGATCTTAACATATCTCACTACAAGTGATTTCAAGTTACTTACACATAACTTCATATATAATTGAAGTAACTTATAAGTGACTTCATCTGACATAGATCTCATATGTCAACGCCATCACCAAAGTGGGCTCCTCTGGGCATCCCCCCCGGGGCCCGTTTTGTGAGGATGTCTCAGGCGAGGGCGCCGGTTTGGGATTCGTCACCGGATCCAGCGGATCCAGCGGATCCAGCGGATCCGTCCGGAAACGGTGCCGGAGGCCGCTCTGGGCTCGTGCTCTTCGCGCCGGGGGTGAGGATGACGTGAGTTCCACAGAAACTCCCTCAAATTAGCGAATTGGCTGCCCCCTCCGCGGATGACTTCCTCGTGCGGGCATCTCTTCCGCAAGATGCTCCCAGATGCTCCTCGATTGCCCTCGCCGAGAGACGCACACGCCGAACGATGCCCATCACCTGGCGTGTGAACCAGTCAGCTGGCCCGGAGGCATCCGACGTTTGAGCCGCCGCGGGAGGCGCAGGACCGCGAGCGCAGCGTTGCTTCATTCGGGCTCGCTGGCAGGCAGCCAGGCAGTCCGATCGTGTCAACCCTCGGCCTGGAGTCGGGCGCGACTGCGCGAGACCCCACGCGTCGCCGTTGGAGCTCGAGCGAGAAACGCACGAGCCTTCGTCGTGCCCCTGAACGTAGATGGTCTGACTCGCTTCACACCGAGTCGGGTTCAGGTGTGCTGAACCTGCCGTAGTGTCGGGACGGGAATTTTGCGAGGCGAGGAGTCATCCAAGACCACCGGCTGGGGGATAAATCTTCGGGGGGCTCGGCAGGCGGTAGATGTAGATATACTGAAGCCATGAAGGGGCCAAATATCAACGGCAAATCGCTCGAACGGTCTTACCTTTTTCCTGCGCGCGCGTGGCCTGATGGACCTGGGCGTCCTCTGGACCACACTTGGGGGCTACACATGGAGGCTACGGGCTACACTTGGGGACTTCACATGCGGGCTACGCTTGGGGATCGGCATGGGGGCTACACTTGGGGACGCACTTCAGGCCTACAACTGGAGACCACTACACTCTTGTCCGCAAATGCGGGGTGCAACGTACCCACGTCCACTGCCCGCAGAGGTGACCGAAGATGGATCCCCTAAGCGGTGGTTTCATTACATTCGGACCCAGGCCAGAAAAACATCCTCCAAGAACAAAAGAGCCTCCGCCAGCCAAACCACACAGAACGTCCGAGGGTACCCTCCACAAGATGCGCAAAAAACATCAAACTAACACAGACAAAACATTAGGGCTCCCTGCCAGAACAGACCTCGATCTCATACACTGGCACGAGTGCATGGGGAAACCGCAAGGTACCGATACCGCTGCTCCCCCGGACCTCTTCTGGGGTGCGTTCTGACGAGGATCTCAAGGCGAATCCAGCGGTGGCGACGAGGGCTTCCGAGGAGGCTCAAACAAAAGGACAACGAGGAAAGGGTAGAGGCACGGGTGCCATTTCCTCATCCGAGTGTAACAAGGCACGGGTCGAGGCACCTTAGGAATCGGCGCTGGGGACCCCTGGCGGCGCCTCCGGCGGCGCCATTGGCGCGCTCCGCGCGTCAGGGCCATGAGTCCAGCGCGGATCCAAGACATCCGCGCGGACCTCCGAGATTTTCTGGTTATGCCATTTTTCGTTCTCCTAGTTTCTCCGTCCCCCTCTGCTCGGGCCTCATCTGGTTGGCCTCTGGGAGGGGCCCCGGTGCTCACAGGCCGCTCCTCAGATGGTCCATGGGTCGCGGGGGAACTGGATCGAGGCTCGACGTGGCCAGCAAGGCCCCTCCGCTCCCTCTCTCGTGCTCCCTGTACTGGCCGATGGCTGCGTGCCCGGCGTCGCTGGCGGCAGGCGCGGCGGCTGCCCGCGCAGAGCTGCCGATGCCTCTCTCAGCGGGCCCAGCCGCGGCGGCACAGGTGCGGCGTGGGGGGAGGGCGGCCGCGCGAGCGGGGCAGAACGGCTCGGGCGGGCTGGCCCGGAGGGCGCCTCCCGGTGCACCCACAGCTGCAGCCCAGGCCAACGCCGGGGTGCACCGAAGCATGCAGAGGGGGGCCCTCCTCCCTGCAGGTTTGGTTGCCGGCGCACCGCTGGGCGGCGCTGCGGCCGCCCCTGAGCACAGGCCCCCCCCCCCCCAGAGCCCCCCCCCCCGCAGAGCATCCGCCAAACAAGCTGGGCTCGCACCCTCATGCGTTGCCAGAACCCTGGGCGCGCTTCGGCACTGCCTCTGCCGCCGCCACCGGGCCGCCACCCCCTCGTCGGGGCCACCCGCTCGGGCGACGGCGACTGCGCCAGCGGCAGTGGCCGACGCGTCCAAGCCTGGCGGCGTGCAAAGCCAGACTGCGAGGAGTCCGACATCCCGTGAGACTCCTGAGCCCGACGGTGGCAGCAGCAGCAGCAGCAGCAGCAGCAGCAGGACGGGACGAGCAAGGAAAGACGAGACGAGACGAGACGGGGAACACCCGTGCGAGCGGAAAAGCCGAACTGGGCGATTTAGCCCGAATGCGTTTCTCGTTTTGCGGCTTGGGGCGAGGGTGCGAAGCTAGGACGGGGCGCGGCCACCGAGGGGAGGCAGAGGGACGCGATGGGCTGCCCTTCTGGGCCTACCAGATGGGGTCGGGGTCGATGGGGTCGGAGGATCGCGCCGCATCGCCGATGCATCCGCGATGCGTTCCGACGTGGAACCCGATTGTCTCCACTTCGAAGTCGCCCTAGCGCCGCCGACGTCGACGACGCCGCAGCAATGCATCGGCGATGGATCGGCGATGCGGCGCCGTATTCCGAACCCATCTGCGCGGACCCCGTTTGAAGGCCTTGTGTGCCCGCGCGCATGCGACATCTGGGGCGAAATGTTGGCCCTGGGAAAGGAGAGAAGACCTTTGGGGGCCCAGCGTTGAAAAAATCTAGCTTCGGATGCCTGCGTAGTTTTCGTCCTCCCGACCCGCCCGCGCACGGGGACCCTCCTCAACCCTGGGGCCTGGGCGTGAACGGGGTGCCGCATCCGTCAAAGCACCCTGGTGTCGCAAACGAGCTGCGACGGCACTCGAAGAACAAACGAGGGCATAGACATGATTGTTTGGAGCCCCGCGCGGATTTCTTGGATCGGCGGTGAACTCCCCGCCCGGGCGGGCGGAGCGCGCCAGTTAACCCTGATAGCACGATGGAGACGTCGCCTCACTTGAGTCAGACGAACCCAAACCCTTAACACGAATAACACGATGAAGACGTGGCCCCCTTTGGGTTCCCGTCTTCGCATCAGGGATTATCGATCAGGGCGGCCTTGCCCGATGCATCTGCAGTAATTAACGAAAAACGCCACCTAGCCTTATGTCGGGCCTGTCCCCATACGGGGTGATTTTGGACGAAAAATAAAAACATAACTACCCCAATAAGGTCAAGAAATACTCGAAAAATAGTCCCCCGACTATTCTGGGAGTACTTTTAAAACGGATTTCTGGGTATGTTTTCTTTTTCGTCGAAAGCCCCCTTATGGGGGGACATGCCCGACTCAAACCTATCCCCACATGTTTTTGGAGTATGTTTTAAATATGTTTGAGTAGTTTTCATTTTTCATCGAAGATAACCACTGTAGGGGGACAGGCCCGACTTAAACCTGTCCCCAAATGTTTTTTGGGCCCTCCTCAGTTAGAGGCCTCCCAGATGGGGTCGGAGTAGATGGGGTCGAAGGATCGCGCCGCATCGCCGATACATCGACGATGCATCGGCGGTGTATCGGCGATGCATCGGGGATGCACTGGCGACGCATCGTCGACGTCGGCGATGCATTGGCGATGCCGACGTGGAGCAAATCGGGCTCCACATCGACCCGCATCGCCGATGCATCGGCGATGCGGAGCGATCCTCCGACCCCATCGACTCCGACCCCATCGAGGAGGCCTAGATCAGTGGGGCACCTGTCTGGCTTGTCACCGAGGGGCGGCGCCGCGGGCTCCCGGAGCTCGGGAGGCGCGGGGCCGCTTCGCCCTCCTCGCCGACGACCCCCTCGCCCTCGCCCTCCTCCTCGCCCCCGCCCTCCTCGTTCTCGCCGCCCTCGCTCTCGATCTCCTCGTCCTCCAGGTCATCGCCCTCCTCGCCCTCGTCCTCCTCGTTCTCGCCACCCTCGCCCTCGACCGCCTCGTCCTCCACGCCGTCGCCCTCCTCGCCTGCCTGCGTCGTCGCCCCCCTCGTTCTCGCGTCCCTCGTCCTCGTCACCCTCCAGGGGGGGGGGGCGCGACGGCGCGGGGCTGGGGGGCCGCGCCCTGCGCAGTGCAAGGGCGCCGCTGCTGGGCGGGGGGGCACGGAGAGCGGCGGCACGCGCACGCCGCAGAAGTGCCCACCCCCCAGGCACGACGTGCGAGGCGGCGAATGTATCCATGCCCTCCTCCCTCCTCCCTCCTCCCCTCCCCTCCCTCCCTCCTCCCTCCCTCCCTCCCCCTCCCTCCCTCCAACCCCTCCCTCTCCTCCTCTTCCTCCTCCTCCTCCTCCTCCTCCTCCTCCTCCTCCTCTGCCTCCGCCTCCTCCTCCTCCCTTCCTTTCTGAAGGGGGGGGCGGGCGTGCCTCTCTGGAACTCCTCGAACGTGAGGGAGTGAGAGCGGTGGATGTCTATGACGTCCCACGCCCTCGCCAGGTCGTTGCCTGGATGAGGGAAAGGGGGGAACTGACACATGAGAGGGGTATGGGGAGGAGGCCAGTGGCTGAGTGCAAACCCAAGACTTATCAACGATGTTGCCTGAACTCTAAACTCAGCTCACTCCCCATCGGCCTGACAAATATTCACTTGCAGTGGTGAAAATACCCTGTTGGAAGACAACCGTTTGAAATTCCTGACCTGGAGCACCATTCCTGGGACTTCAACGCCACGGTTGAACGTGACTGTTGCGTCTTGACTGCGTCGCGCCAGCTCGCCATTCCGGCCCCAGTGCGGCGGCGCGCAGCGGGGGGCGGGGGGGGAGGGGGGAAGGCTTCTCGGGCTGGGCGAAAGGGAGGGATAGCAAAGGGGGGGTTTGAGAATCAGCTCACGTAGCTGATTTTCCCGGCGCCTCCCGGCGCCGGAGACGGCCATGTATCGAGGAATGGGCCCCTCGGTGGGTTCTGACTACCTACCAGACCACCCCAACCCAACCCGAATACCCGAATTTTTCGGGTTGGGGGGGGGTACAGGTTCCATATGTGCTTTCCAAATGTTCCCCGCCCCCCCCCCCACTGGAAGTGGAGGGCAAATTGAAGCCTTCGGGTTGGGTTGGGGTGGTTTGGTGGGTGGTGAAGTTCGGCGGCGCGCAGCGGGGGGCTGGGGGGGAGGGGGGAAGGCTTCCTTCGACTGCACGCAAGAGTAGTGGCCCTGGGTAAGAGTGACCCTTGGTGCGCGGCTCTTTGGGGGCCGCGGGAGGGCCAAGCGCGAGCGCGCGAGACGCCACCATCGCACCGCGTTCGGCGATCGGGGGGCCCCAACGGGCCCGCACCAACGGTCACTCCGGCGAAGGGTCACTCTTACGTTTAGTCGATTCTTAGAAGCACCCCTGCTTCTTAGAAGGCGCGGGCCTCGTCTGCAGATGTGAGGCCAGCGCCTCCTGAGGAGCAGCCTCCTTCCGAAGAGCCTTCCCCCCTCCCCCTGCCCCTCGTGCGCGCCGCCAACCCATCCTGAGTCTTTTCTGTGACGGCCCCAGGCCCCGGTGAGGGCCCCCCCAAAAAAGGAAGAAGACACACACACACACATGCAAACCTGATCGGACAGGAACGGGAAGCGCCGCTTCAGTCCAGTGGACGCATTGGGCGAAGAAGAATAAGAAGAAGAGACAGAATAAAAAGAAGAACAAGAAAAAGAAACATACTACTAATAATTATAATACTAATAATAATAATAATAAGAAGAAGAAGAAGAAGAAGAAGAAGAAGAAGAAGAGACGCCAGCGTGGGTGCCCGGCACAATCCGTAGCCGTTCATGAGTTTCTACCACCGACAAGCGGTCCACGCCCGGGGCGCTTCCCGTCCTCCGCCGTCGTATTTGCTTTGGTTCCACAGCGGCAGGCGGCGGGGGCTTCCCCTGCGGCTGGAGGACCTCTCGGAGGCAACCCGGGCCGCCTGGAGGGCCTCCTGGGCGCTCCTCTCGGCCCGTCTTGGGCTCTCCTGGACCACCCGGGCGGCCGTGGAGGCATCTTGGGACCACCCTGGAGGCCCTCCTGGCCGTCTGGGAGGCCCTCCTGGCCGTCCTGGAGGCCACTTCCAACGAACAAAAAGCCCACGGGCGACGGGCGGCGCGTCCGGGCGGCCCCTCGGGCGGGGGCTCTGGCTCGGCGTGTCGCCGCGGCGGCGCCGGCGACGCGCTCGCACTCCCTGCGCGCGGGCAGCGCGCGTCGCTCCGCGCCGCGGGGCGGGGCTCCGCTCCGCGGGGCGAGGGCGCGGACAGCGTGCCGCGCCGCAGCGCGGCGGCGGGCCAGGCCCGGCGCCGCGGCACGCTTTGGAAGCAAGAGCTCCCGCGCTGGAATCCGGTCGGGCATGTCTCCCCCTACAGGCGGATTTCGGACGAACAGAAAAAATACTCAAAAAAATCCCCAGAAGAATCAATATGACCCCAACAAAAATCGTCCCCAGACGATTGTTGGACTATTTTTGTATACCCCTCCTGTAGAGGGACAGGCCCGACTGAAAGCTAGAAGGAGAAGAAAAAACCGCTGTATGCATAAACTGTTTGCGCTCCGCGCGGATTGCTAGGATCTGCGCGGGACCCCCCTTCCCTGGCGCGCGGGGCGCGCCAGGGCCGGCGCCGCGACACGCTGTTCACCAAGAGCTCCTGACTTAGAAAGAGAAGCAACGCTACCGCGGATGTAAATACTTATCGCGAAATCAATTCGTAACGTTGGATCTCGCCATTCAAAGGCCTCAAGAAGAATGCTTCGGTAACATGTCTGGTACCAATGAAAATCTTAAAACATAAGCGCGAACCACGGAAGAACTTGTCCTTCACCCGTGGCGGGTTACGCCGAGCTTGTGTTCTATCTCTTTGCATGGCGGAGTTCAACGTTACGAATGGTTTTCGCGCTAATTCTTTACAGCCACGGTACAAGCGTAAACTGTTGTCGCTCCGCGCGGACTTCTTGGATCTGCGCTGGATTCCCCCTCCCAGGCGCGCGGAGCGCGCCAGTGGCGGCGCCGGAGGCGCCGCGTTGGGGGCCTGGCGCGGATCCAAGAAATCAGCGCGGCGAGCCAAAAGTTTATGCTTATTCGGCGGTAGGCAAAGCTCCCTTTCATACACCATCTTTTAATGAGAACGGCCTGGACCCGCAAAAAGGACGGCCGCGACGCCCTCTTGCGAACCGAAAACAGCCAATTCACTTATCGGCGTGTCAGGGTAGGAGGTCTGTCCACCCCCGACTTATGGGTTTTCTTCCCCTTCGATGAGCCTTGTCCCCCGTCCCGCTCGACCCAAGCAGAGCTGTGCGGGGCAGAGGCCCAGAGGGCGCGAGCGAGAGGCCCTCCCCCCCCGCCCCGGGCGCAGGCCTGCCGCGTCCACCAGGGCCTCGACGTTCTCCGCCTCCTCCGGCGCCAGGTCGGCGAAGGCGAGGGGCCCCCCGTTCGGGCACAGCGCCTTCCAGATGCTCTTGCCTGGGGGTTAAGTCGGGCGTGTCCCCTTGCAAGGGGATTTTCAACGAAAAGTAAAAAAAATACAGAGAACAATCCAAAATGGTCAAAAAAATACTCAACAATAATCCCCACACTATTTTTTGACTATTATTGAATACTCCTCCTGTAGAGGGACACGCCCGACTTCAACGCTCGCGGGTGGCGAACCTGCCTTGCCTTGGGGGGGGGGGCGCCGCCGCGCTCTCGCGGCTGCGGGCGAGCCGCAGCCGCAGCCGCGGCAGCGCGCGCGGGGGCCCCCGGGCGGATGCCCCCGGTGCTTTTAAAAGGAGGCGTCGTTGGACGAGCGCGTTCCACGACTCGCCAGAGTGACTATGCTCGCAGATGGCCTGGCGCTCCGCCGCGGGGGATCCACTACGACGGAGCACATCAAGGCAGGCATGTGCTTTTGTTTCGAAGTTTGCGAGCAGGCACTCTGCGAGTAGCGGAACGCGCTCGGTGCGCTGTCTTCGCGGGCGCCGCGCGCGGAGAGCACGCCCGTGCGTCTGCGTGCCCACGGGGTCGCGCCCCGGAGGCCGCGCCGCCGAGGGCGTGGGCACGGATACACTCGCCGCTCGTGGGGAGGGGGAGGAGGAGGGGGAGGGGGAGGAGGAGGAGGAGGAGGAGGAGGATTTTTTTGTGCTCCTCCATGGGACGCCGATCATGCCAGCTACGAGGAGGAGGAGGAGGAGGAGGAGGAGGAGGAGGAGGAGGTGGGCGTGGGTACGGATACAGTCGCCGCTCGTGAGCAGCCGCCTGCGCGCCAGGTCCACACCGGCACACGAGAACCCCACCAAGGCCAAGAGCCGCCAGCACCGTGCCTGGACCCTGCCGGGGCACACGCCAGAACTCACCACCAGAGCCCACCCCAAGACGCCATGACTAGCTACACTGTGGCCTTGCCGGGACTCTACGAAGGCCTCCTCTTCCACATCATCGTCCTCGTCCTCCTCCTCCTCCTCCTCCTCCTCCTTTTCCTCCTCCTCTTACTCCCCGAGCGTGTTCGCGTCATCCCCGAATACTTTTGTCCTTGTTTGTCCTGCTCCTTCGCGAGCGTGCTCCCTGCGTCATTATTATTTTTCTTCTCCTCCTCCTCCTCCTCCTCCTCCTCCTCCTCCTCCTCATCTGTCCAAGATCAATCTCCGGACCTATCCTGAAGCGCGTTGTGGCGAGAACCTCGAAGCGAGCAAACCAAGCTGTGGCGACGAGGGCTCCACGGGAGCCCCTCCCCCCCCCCCACAGAGACATCACTTCTTTATTTATGACTTTTTGTTGGCGGCGCGCAGAGGGGGGGGGAGGGGAGAAGGCTTGTTACCAACACCCTTGCTCCTTAGAAGGCGCGGGCCTTGTCTAAATAAATGTTGTATGGATGGAAGCGCGGCTTCTGGGAAGCTGTTGGTAGCGGACCTGGCGCGCGCGCAGGTTGGTCGAGCCTGCACAGGGCTGCTGAGGAGCGAGCTGGTGTACTCCAAGAGATGGAGAGGCGGGTGAGGCAGTGGGGAAATAAGAAAAGGAAGGACTTCTCAGACGGCTCGGAAGTCCCCCGGCCTTCCGGGCAGTTTCTCTCAGGCCTTCCCCGAAGACAACCACAACTTCGCAGAAGGCGCGAGGGCCTCCGAGAAGCCCCGCCGCCTGCTCGGAAGGCTTTCTGTTTCTCATTCTCCCCCCCTCGCTCGCCGCCGAAGCTCACCCCATCGCTCGGACGTCCATTCCCTGTGCTTTTGGTCGGTCTCGTGCGTTCGCTTTTTCGCCACATGATCAAGGATGCTCCTCGATGGTCCCCGCCGAAGAAAAAATGCACACGTCCGGGCGATGCCAAGGAAGAGGGGCTACGAATAATCTTGGAATGCTCCGTAGATCTACGTAACAGTCTCTACCCTATAGTTGGCGAGCTCGAAGGCAAAAGTCAGCTTCTGGGTGAATCCATTATGTTGTCGATCCCCCTACCTGTGAATAAATGAAAAACAAATCATGAAGTTAATGTTGAATGTTGCTAGCTTTATTGACTGCATTCGCGTCGTCAACTTCACTACTATGATTCATTATATTTTTATGTTTGATGAATTGGGGGGCAAGGCGGTGGCCGCTGGGGGAGGGGAGAGGGCGGCGGCGGTCCCCTCAGAGCAGGGCAGGCCTCGCGGCAGGGGCGCCGCGGCCCGGGCTCTTCTGCGGAGAGGGCCGCGGGCGGCGCGCAGGGGGCGCGTGTGCGGGGCGGGGGGGCGGCGCCGAGGGGGCGGCAGTTCTCAGCCTGGAACATATCCCTATCCTTTCTGCTCGTCATCGCCCCATCACGATGCCAACCTTGGGGATTCCCTCAGTTTCTGAGGGCGCATCCCTAAGATTGTCATCGCCTTTCGGCGTGTCCATCTCAGGGATAGGGATAGGTTCGAGGCTGGTGAGGCAGGGCGGGCGGCGTCCGAAGGGGGCGGCTCGTTGGAGCACGTGGGGGGGCGTCTCGTAGGATTGGGTCGGGCACGTCCTCTCCTCAGGCGCGGGCTTGGGACGACCAAGAGAGAGGGAGCAGGCGAGACCGAAGACCACGGACAGTGCAGAGAGCGTCCCCAGACGATGTCTGGGCTGCTTCTGGATCTGCCTCCCGTGGAGGGGCACGCCCGACTAAAGCGCGCAGGGCCTCCTCGTGCCGCGCGGCTGGAAGCTCAGACCTTGGGTACGTGCAGCGGCTCATCCCGAGGGAGGGCGTCCCAGCCTCCAGGCCGAGCCCTCGCTGTGCCCTCCCTCGAACTCCGCTCCCCAAACTTCTGCGTCGGCGGCGGGGCAGAGGCTGCCTGCGCCAGCGCGTGGACATTCGGGGCAAGCGGATAGGCGAATTGGCCGGCGTGCGAGAGGGGGGAAGAATCTGTTCCCTGAGGAAGCGTCCTGGTTTCCTACGCCCGGGCACGGCGACGAAAGCCATCCGCACGGCCGCCGCGGCAGCGGAAACTCGCGGCGGCGGCGCCGGCCGAGCCGGTGAGGCTAGGGGGCAAGGACGAGCAACCGCACGTGATCCCGACTGCAATGTGCTCAAGAAGCACAGGGAGACGGATCGCAGGGGGGGGGGGAGGGGGCGGATCGCAATCTGCTCAAGAGGCTTGTCTGTAAGGGCTCCGTGTGTGCTGGGCCCCACCAGATCGGAGGCCCGCTGCCCCCGAATCTCTGCTCCACGGGTCTGCTGCACGCAGGGAGTGGGCCCTAGTAGGCAAGAGGGCGGCCTTTGAGGCGCAGCCTTCGGGGGGAACGCGCGGGCGCGGGGGGGGGCGCCAAACCCGGCGCCCAGGCTGCTGCTTTCGCATCGCGGTCAGCGATCGGGGGTCCCCAGTGGGCGCGCACCCGAGGCCGCTCTGGCGAGGGGCCCCCTCTTCTACGTCCCAGACATGCGACGTCCTGATCTTCTCAGAAACGGCGTCCCTGGAAGTCCCGCCCCTCTCCCCGGGACCAGTTTGGCGTCCCGAGTCGTTGTTTGACGGTCCCGAGGCCCGGCGAGGGCCCCCCGAGGCCGAAACTAGTCCCAGAACCTCCCGTCCTGGTTTTTGCTGCGACGCGATCATCTCTGGGGTGTGGTCGACCACTGCCCCCCAGCGCTGCCGGCCCGCCCGCGGAGGGGCGCCAGGCCGGCCCCTCGGGGTCGGGAGTCCGTTGCCCCCCCCCCGTCGCGGACCCTCGACGTGGTCCCCCCCCCCCAGCGTTCGCTCCCCGTCGTTGCCTCCCACATCTCCTCCTCCTGCTGCTACTCTCGGAGGCCCAGAGGTTGACACCAACACCAATATCGGCGGTGTGCCTCCATCCAGGAAAGAAGATCCCGATCTCGGTGATGGTAATATTATGGCTTCCAAGGTGGCCGAAATATTACCACCAACACCGAAATATAGGATTATCTTCCCCCTGTGGAGGCCCCCCCTGTGTTGGTGTTGGTGCCCATTTCCAGGCCTCCGATACTCGTCCTCCTCTCCCTCCTTGACTGCGTTGCGTGCTCGGCGATGGGTCCCCCGCAGGAAGACAGGCCCCCCGCACGACCCAGGAAAGCAATGCGCAGCCACCGCCGTGCTGCGGTGAAGAACGTTGAATAAGGAGCGAGCGCCCACTGTGACAGAATCAAGGAAATTCCTGGAAGGAGCCTGCTGGTAGAACCAGATGAAGTGGCATCAGATCCACGAGCCCTTCGTTGCAAATGTTTCATCACGTGCTTGACACAAAACGGCCTTGTCCTATTACCTTCGATTCGGGGTGCACGATTCTGCCCACCGATCATAAGGTCGCCGTCGTTGATGTGGTACTCCCGGCAAGCCGCTGCAAAGTCGTTGAACCCTACCTTCCCGGTGCCGTGCCTGCGCTGGGGATCCGCTGACATACCTCCCTTCTCTGATCCCCATACCTCCTCTGTGGACGCCCGGCATGGGTACGGAAAACATGGGCACGGTGCCCAACAAGAAAGCTGGCCCAAGACCGACCGCGGCCGCTGTCGGACAGGCAGTGTTCTTTTTTGGGCTCCAAGGAACTGCGTCCGCGGCGGCGCGGACAGCGAGTCCTGTCCAAAACGAGCAGGAACTGCTGCTGGGCACCGCACCCAGTCTTCCCGAGCCTCCGCTCCGCGATCGTCCCGATCCTCCGCGATCGTGCCCATTGCGATCGTCCCGATCCTCCGCTCCGCGATCGTGCCCATTGCGATCGTGCCCATCGCGATCGTGCCCATTGCGATCCTCCGCTCCGCTGATCTTCCCAATCGTGCCCTTTGCGATCCTCCCGATCCTCCGCTCCGCGCTCGTCCGGCCCCTTCCTCCCTCGCCGCCCTGCCTGCCACACGCAGCACGTGGCGTGGTGACATGGAGCCCAGCACGCCGACTGGAAACGTAGAGCCAAAACGCTCCCAGGAGGAACCTTACAGAAGGAACGAGGCCCCTTTTTTTTCTCCCAGAAACTAAACTTCGATTCTCCAGAAGCTAAACTTCGATTGTCCAGATGCTAAACTTCGATTCTCCGTAGAAGACCTCAGGAAAGCCTAAGACAGGCTGTACAACAAATAAGGAACATTGAGCCAAGCTGTAAAACAATATCGGAACACTGAGCCCCTCCCCAACGAAACGGGCTCCTTCTTCAGCGGCCCGACTGCAGGTCTGTCGCGATACGTTCGCCAAAGAGTGGGCAAACGCGTGCCGAGCCAACACGCAGCGTGTTAGCAGGAACGTCTAAAGTACGTTGCGTTTCAAGGCGAGCGCATCACAACAGCGAAATCCTCACCCTCCTCCGTCTCCCTTCCTCTATCTCCTGAACCCCAAAGGTAAGAAGAGCCCAGAATCGAATTGGTGAGCCGGACTCGCAATCTACATGAATCGGATCGGAGGAAATCGGCAGCCGAGTCGGGAGACGTCGAACTGGCGGGAATTAGCAAGCTAGCAAGCCTTCATTGAAAAATCGGAATCCACGGCGGAACCCGAAGTCAAATCGAATCGGACTCGGAAACCATCGAAATCGAATCGAATCGAACCGGAGGAATGGAAACAAGCCCTAGGAGGGTGCCTCGCCACATCCTCACGCATCCTCGATGTACTCGACCCCCAGCAAAGAAGGCCGCTTGCGGGGAGAGGGCTGCGCCCACGAGTTGCGGAAGCCCAATGCCCGAAAGCTCCAAGGAAACGGAATCAAGGAAGAAGGGAGGAGGAGGGAGGAGGAACAATATGATAATGAGGATAGAGGAGAAGAGAAGGAGGAGGAGGAGGAGGCGGTGGAGGAGGAGGAGGAAGAGGAGGAGGAGGAGAAGAGAGGGGCACCCCCAGAACCCTCTCGACGAAACGCAGCCACCAGAGAGCCTTCCTAGGCCAAAGAACCGTCGAGCACGGACGAAAACACGCCAGAAAAACTCTCGAAACCTGGACGCGACTCTTCCGCCTCCTCTACAACAAAAACGCTCTATAAACATGAACTTTTGGCGCTCCGGGCGGACTTCGAGGATCTGTGCTGGATCCCCTCTCTGGCCGGCGGATGCAAGAATGCAAGAATGCAAGATGGCGGGGGGGCCCAGCGCGGATGCAAGAAATCCGCGCGGAGCGCCGAGAGTTTGTTTGTATGGTGCTTTTTCCTCTTCGACCCTCCCCCCTCCCGGCCTGGGGGAGCCCAGAGCGGATCCAAGAGATCCGCGCGGAGCGACAGAAGTTCATGTTTGACTACCTACCAGGCCACCCCAACCCAACCCGAAGACACGCATCTGACCCGAATTTCGGGTTGGGGGGGGGGTAGGGGGACCATGTGTTTTTTCTATGTTCCCCGATCCCCCCCCCCCACTGGAAGTGGAGGGCAAATTGAAGCCTTCGGGTTGGGTTGGGGTGGTTTGGTGGGTGGTGAATGCTTGTGGCGTGTCTTCTTCTTTGACCCCCCCCCCTCCTCGGGCCAGGGGGGCCCGGCGCGGAGGCAGGAAATCCGCGCGGAGCGCCAAGAGTCTATGTCTCAAGGGCTCCCAACCTTCGCGCTCCGCGCTGCGCGGAGCGCGACGTGCGACGAACTTCGCGCTCTCGCGCCGCCTCCCAGGAGAGAAGAGGAGGATGAGGAGGAATCCGAGCCGAACCGCGAAGCGCGAAGCGCTTCGCGCTTCGCGCCCTCGAGGGCGCCCTCGATGTTTGTGGTGCTTTTGGACAAACCTCGCTTTAGTAAACCTCCCCTTAGTGAAAACGGCCTGGGACCGAAACCCGCGGACCTGGACCCGCAAAAATGACGGCCGCGACGCCCTCTCGCAAACCGAAAACGGCCAATTCCTTAATCGACGTGTCAGGGTAAGAGGTCTGTCCACCTCCGACTCTTCGACTTCATCCCCGGGGGATGACAAAAACGTGGTGCCGAGGCCCGAGGGCAGGAAAGGCACGCTCGTCCTCCTCCTCCTCCTCCTCCTCCTCCTCGCTCCTCCTCCTCGCTCCTCCTCGCTCCTCGCTCCTCCTCGCTCCTCGCTCCTCGCTCCTCGCTCCTCCTCCTCGCTCCTCCTCCTCCTCGCTCCTCCTCCTCCTCCTCGCTCCTCCTCGCTCCTCCTCCTCCTCCTCCTCCTCCTCCTTCTTCCCCCCCCCCTTGGCCAGGGGCGGGGCCCCGCGCCTGTCCAGGTCCAGCCGCCAGGCGCGGAGCGCGGTGCGCCGGCGCCGCCGCAGCGCCGTCACCTCGGGCGACCGGGCCGCTGCCGGAGCTCGGCCCCACCAGGACGACCTGCCAGACCACCCCAATAGTCAACCCGAAGACCCGACTTTCGGGTTGGGGGGGGGGGTACGGGCTCCACACGTGTTTTTCTCGATGTTCCCCGACCCCCCCCCCCCCTGGAAATCGAGGGTAAATCTGAGCCTTCGGGTTGGGTTGGGGTGGTTTGGTGGCCGCTGCTGGAGTGCCGCCCGATGCACGCGGCACGCGGGCGATCGGCCCAGGTGCTCGAGGGGCATCGAGGATCGAGGGGATCGAGGAGGCGGGGATCGAGCCTCGGGGGCTCGAGGATCGAGGATAGCTCTTCGCGCCGGGCGTTTTCGCCTTGCTCCGGGTCCTGGGGCCCCCACAGATCGATCCGGTTCGAAGAATGATGCAGAAGGATGGGGTTCGGGGCTCTGGGCGTAATTTTTACCATGTGCAAGTTGTTCGTTACGTAGGATCTCAGGGATGGGGCATCGATAATGGGGGACAAGGGATGGGGGATCGAGGATAGGGGATCGATCATCGAGGATGAGGGGCTCGAGGATAAGGGCATCGAGGATGGGGGATCGATGATGGAGGATCGATCATCGAGGATGAGGGGCTCGAGGATAAGGGCATCGAGGATGGGGGATCGATGATGGAGGATCGAAGCTGAGGGGATCGAGAATGGGGGTATTGAGGGTGGGGGATCGAGGGTGTGGATTGAGGATAAAGGATGAAGGGATTGAAGATGTGGGGCATCGAGGATGAGGGGATCGAGGATGGTGGGATCGATGACGAGGGGATAGAGGATGGAGGATGGGGGATCGAGGCTTGAGGGATCGAGGACTTGTGAAGGAGGTCGAGGAGGCCCGCTTCGAAGCCCGGGGCCTCAGAGACGGCTCCCAATTGACCCAAGACAGCCGCAAGGTCTGCAAGTCGCCTCCAAGATCTCCAGCCAACCCCTATTCTGCCGACGGCCTGACAATCCCGACGGCGGCCCAAAGAGCATCACACAAGCAACTAATATTCAATCTGGCTCCCACGAGCGCGCCAGAGCTTTCAGATGCTCCTCCTCTCTGGGCGCCCGGGCAATCCCCGAGAGGCCCACAGAAGGCCCCACACGCATGCACAAAGACAAGCTCACGCAATGGATCCGAGTCTACACGCCACAAACCCGCGACGCAACAACCGAGCAGCATTGCAGCCGCGCAAAAAGAAAGCGTTGATGCGGTGATTCCCCGTGCGCGGCAACTGAACTGGAGATCCACGTGAACGCCGTAGACGATGCCAGACGGAAGCTCAAACGGGCTACAATAGACCCACGACGGCGAGAACATCTTTCCTGGCTGAAGCGGCCACCAGTGCTGTCGCCCATCAATCCCGGCCCACACCTATGGCACAGGTGAATTGCAACAAAGATGCAGCCTCGTGCCGCAACATCAAGATGCTATATGAGCCTCAAAAGTGCAGCGCTGACCGGCGCCGAACTCCAGCCTCGATTGATCGACCAAGCACTGCTATGGTGTTGGCAAGCTGGCTGACAGCCTCGTTCTCTGAAGCGCGAGGGGCATGTTTGCTCTTGTACAGCTTCAGGTCTACGAAGAGCATGTGCTCCTGGAGTCAAAATATGATCACCAACGCGCCTCGTCTCACACTGGACAACATCAACCTTTCGGAGATCCGCGCGGATACATCGATCGGCGCTGGACCTGTCTCCTTGGCGCGCGGACCTAGCGCCGATCCAAGGAACCTGCGCGGAACTCCGACCTCGTATGTTTTATGCAATTTGTGCTCGTTTCCTTCGAAGCTGCTTTCCTTCGACGCTTCCGCCCCCCCTCCCCTGGCCACGCCACGGTTCGCGCCCGCGCCATCTGGGCAAGAGCCCTCCGCATGCGCTCCAAGACCGTGCCGACGCGACTCGTGACGCGACCAGCCCCCCCTCTCTCCACTTTGGAGTCCCGAGACGGTGCGGTGACAGACCGTGCGGTGACCTCGAACCCCCCCAAGGCCTCACCGCACGGCCCGTCACCGCACGGTCTTGGGAACCTGGGAGAGGCCCCCGTCGCCCGAGACGTTCTCGGAGAAGGACTCGAGCCCCAAAGCTGTGCGGTGACCCCGAATCCCCACCGGCTCACCGCACGGTGGTCACCACACTGTTTGGGGGCCCTCGATCGACCTCGTCCCCGGCCCCGCCCGTCTCCCTTTGTGGGCCCCGGAAACGGCAGGGCATATTTTCACCGTTTCCACGAAAATGTTCCTTGAAAATGGACAAAAGAAAACAAACTGCTCCAGGATTGGAACCGGAGCCGGAACCGGTCAAAAAAAGGCGACGGAACCGGTAACAAAAACGGCGTCGGAACCGGCAGAAAAACGGCAAAACGGAACCGGTAAAAAAACGGCCCTGTCGTTTCCAGGGCCCACTATAAGGTCACCACACTGTTTGGGGGCCCCCGATCCACCTCGTCCCCGGCCCCGCCCGTCCTCCCCCCGGGGGAATGAACAACACACGGCGCCGCGGCCTGGGCACCCGGGGGCCCGAACACGGGGGCCGGGCACCCAGGCCCGAGGGCAGGGAAGGCACGCTCCTCCTGCTCCTCCTCCTCCCCCTCGCTCCTCGCTCCTCTCTCCTCCTCGCTCCTCGCTCCTCGCTCCTCGCTCCTCTCTCCTGCTCCTCCTCCTCCTCCTCCTCGTCCTCCTCCTCCTCCTCCTCCTCCTCCCTCCTCCTCCTCCTCCTCCTCCTCCTCCTCCGCCTCCTCCTCCTCGCTCCTCGCTCCTCGCTCCTCGCTCCTCGCTCCTCCTCGCTCCTCGCTCCCCCGCCAGACCTCCCCGCGTCCTGCCGGCGGGTTCTGCCGAGAGCGTCCGCGTCTGGGGACCTGCGGGGGCGTCCGCTGCAGGACGGGGCGGTGCCAAAAGGGGGGGGTCCTGGCCTGTGGGACCCGCACCGATGCGGTGACGGACCCGGGCATACGGCGTCCCGAAAAAATCGGGGCGGCAATCGTCCTCATTTTCGGCCTCTTGGGGCCCTTATTACCGGGCCTCAGAAACGACAAACATCGACTCGGGATGAGAAACAAGTCCCGAAGGGAAGGTCGAGAGGTCGGGGGCCCGTGTCTACAAAAAGATCGAGACGCCGATGTCTGGGGACCGTGCGGTGACCTCCAAATCCCAAGATACCTGAGGAACAAATGCCCTCACAATTAGCACCCCGGCAAGCGAAGCCGTTTAGTACACGCACCCAGGCGAGGAATCGAACAGGGCAGGGCTGTTCAGTAAACGCCCAGATCCGTTTCGCAAACGCCAAAGAAGGGGGGGGGGAGGGGCGGGTTGGTTTTGTCTCCCGCAAGCCGAACGGTTATGGGAGCTCGGAGGCCCCAATCGCCAGACGCCTCCTCTCGGGAGCGGCCAAGAGTGGGGGGTCCAAGAGGGGGGGGTGCAAACCATGACTGGCGGCATGTGCGCGGCCCAGCGGGGGGGCCAGGGACGCAATGAAACAGGAAGAGCCGCCATGAAATCTGGGGAAATATCATGGCCCCCGCCATGATATCCACCCCCCTTCCTAGTCATCCCCCCCCCTTTCCGCCCCCGATCCTCGGAGAACGACCCGAGTCCCAAAACCGTCCGGTCACCACGACGAGTCCTCCCGACGCACCACTCGGTGTGGTCACTGCACCGTGTAGGGGCCCGCGGATCCCCCGAGGCCCCCTGGGGCTCATGTTTTGTCTCGCGGCGATCGCGGGCGTTACGGGGGGGGGGGCGGGGAGGGCAAAACGTACGGTCGGGGCGTTGGCCTGAGGCACTAAGGAACGAGGCTCCTTTTTCCCAGAAGCTGGACTTCGATTTTCCATGAGGAACCTCAGGAAAGCCGAAGGCAGACTGCAGAACAATCAGGGAACACCGAGCACTTCCCCGACGAAAAGGGCTCCTTCTCCAGGGCCCCGACTGTAACGCCCGCGCCCTCCCCCCCCCCGTGACAGACTATAGTGCCAGACGCCCCGCGGCCATGCTGGAGAAACACACTGGGCTGGGTGGAGCTCGCGTCATGGCTCAGAGGGTCACAGCAATCATCTCCTGGGCGTGCAGTCTGACCGCTAAATAAAGAACGAAACCCCTTCTTGGCCCTGTAAGCGCCTCCGTGCCCCAGGAGGGGAAGAGGAACAGCACTGGAGGAACCTTAGGAACATCGAGCCCCTTTCCGAACCCAAACTGTTCCTTATTTCAGCGTCTTGACTGTACTCAGGCGGCTCAGTGCATGGCCAGGCCGCTGCCAGGAGCATGCCATAGAGCGGGAGCGAGGCCCTGCTTGGCCCCGAGAGGCGCCTGCGCGGGCGATGCTCGTAATTGTCCATATCCAGTGCGTCTTGGACGTCTTTGTTTTGACACGGGCACCGCGAGGCCGAGGCACGCCTGATGTGGAGAACAATCGAGCCTCTACAGTCGGGCTTGATTGGACAGGACACGCGAGCGGACACGAGACCCTTCCGAGGGCCACATCGCCACAGGAGTGTAAGAAGGCACGTGCCGCGAGGCACAGGACACAAGGGCACCCTTGAGCTGGCAGGGTCGAGCTACTGATCCTGCCCGGCTGTATAAAAGAACAGGTGCTCACCCATGTCCGGTGCGCCTCCGGGTTCCGGCGAAGGGAGCCCGAGGCCCCAGGCCGCACTTGACACGGACGCGCGTCCTTGATGGGCGTCTTTCCACCACCACCACCGTAGGTTGGAGGGGGGGTCCTCCTCCTCCTCCTCCTCCTCCTCCTCCTCCTCCTCCTCCTCCTCCTCCTCCTCCTCCTCCTCTTCGTCCTCCAATTCCCCGCCCTCCACCTCCTCCTCCTCCTCCTCCTCCTCCTCCTCCTCTTCGTGCTCCAACTCCTCGCCCTCCTCCTCCTTCCCCCCTCCAACTTATGGTGGTGGTGGTGGTGGTGGTGGAAAACAAGCTCGTCAGTCCTGCAGCGCACGGGGCGCGCTGGCGGCACGCCCGCGGAAGGGGCCTGGGCAGCGGGCCCCTCCCGCACACGGGACGCTCCTCGGCTCCGCGCGCCGTGACTACAGGGCAGTTTTTAAGACATAGGATGTTAAACTATTTGATCTAAATCAATTATTGATTCACGAATGAATTTATGCATGAACTCATCGTTGTTTTTGATACTAAATCCCTCCATGTTTAATACACGATCCGCACGCGGAGCATGCATAAAAAACGGCACTGTATACGCGAGCCTTCCACCAAAACCACCCCCTGCCTCCCCCTCGGGCAGAGGCCCGCCCGGCCCCCCCAACCCCACCCACCCCAGGCCCCCCGGCGTCGTGATTTTTCCGGGAGCGGCCAAGAGGGGGGGGGGTGCAAGAGGGGGGGGTGCAAATGATGACCGGCGGCATGTGCGCGGCCAGCGGATGGGCCAGGGACGTAATGAAATAAGATCAGGCGCCATGAAATCCGAGAGGATATCATGGCCCCCGCCATGATATCCACCCCCCCTAGTCATCACCCCCCTCTTTGCCGCCCCCGATTTTTGTCATGGCGTCGATCCCCAGAGGTCGCGACCCACTTCCCGGGACCCGGCGTTTCAGCCGGAGTCGTCCTGTGTGCACGGCCCCGAGGCCCGGCCAGAGCCCCCAAAGGCCGCCGAAAGTAGCGACCCGTGACTCGAGGGGGTCTGGGATGGCAGAAGGCTGCCCCCTCTTCGCGCCTGGCGCAGCCTTCTGGGTGGGGGCCGGCCGAAGGGCCCCTCGGAGCCAGGCGGAGCCCAGACGAGCCAGCTGCTATCGAGTCGGGCACGTCCCTCCACGGGGGAATCTCCCCAAAATAATAAAAAGGAACGTATGGGGCCGAATAATCTATCATTGTTGGGGCATGCTTGAGTATTTTGTCACTACTTTGCATGTTTCGTCGAAAACCCCCCTGTAGGGTTATGTTGCCCCAGTCGTACTTAAGGACCACATCCCAGAAATAATTCCGAGCGCCCGGAAAAGTGTCGAAACAGTGTCGAAATAGTGTCGGACGAGTGTCTCCCAGGGCCCCCTGGCGGCCGCTGGGCGACCGCCAGGACGGGCAGGCCGACTCCTGCGCAGAGTGTGGGGGAGTTTTGGCCCTGCAGCGCAGGTGTCTGGGCAATGAAGCGGAGGAGAAGCAGAGAGAGAGAGAGAGAGAGAAAGATGGAGAAAGAGTCGAACGACGACGCAGACGCCGACGTCAGGTCGGGGACGGGGCACCGGCTTCGAGATCGGCCGCGGATGCCATGGCGCGCACGATTCTCAGACACGGTCGCCCACCACATCCCACGACCTGTGCGACACCACGGCGTCGAAGACGACGCCCGCGTCGCCCCGGAAGCCCAGGTTCGAGACCATGGCCTTGAAGTCCACCCTGCGCATGCCGATCTTCACGGGACAGCCGTCGACGAAGCACTCGTGCTTCACCTGGTCCTGGCAGTGCTTCCGCTCTGCCCGTGCCAGATGCCGAAAAGCGCTGCATCCCCATACGTCCGACGACATGATTTTTGCTTAATGCGCGGCCCAAGAGGCCTCGACCCCGTCTCCAGGGCTAGCCCTGCGCCCCAGCACCATTGTTGGATGATCCCGGGGCCCTTGCAGCGGCCCCCCGAAGCTAAAGCAAAACAACACAAACGAGGGACAACGCCCGAATCGAACAACTCTGCGTTCGCTGCTTCGTGGATACCTCGGCTACACGCAAGAGCGACCCTGGGTAAGAGTGACCTTTGGTGCGCGGCTTTTGGAGGGCCGCGGGGGAACCAAGCTCAGGCGCGCAAGACGCTACTGTCGCATCGCAATCGGTGATCGGGGGACCCCATTGTGCCCGCACCAAAAGTCACTCCGGCGAAAGGTCGACGCCCCAGGGGGGCCAGCCGGCGAGGTGCCGGGCCCTCCGGGCCGCGCCCGGCGTTCCCGCCTCTGCCTTCCCCCCCCTCCACCTGCTTATGCCAGAGCACGCAGCTGCGCAGCTTCATGCCAGAGCACGCCTTCCTATTAGAGGAAAAAGAACTATGCACACACACACACACCGATTCTGGCCAGGCCCATCCTGAGCCCAGGATCGGTGCATACGCCCTCCTACCTTGGCCAGGAAGGCATATGCACCGATCCTGGGTCAAGGATGGGCCTTGCCAGGATCGGTGCATGTGCATAGTTCCCTTCGCCCGAAGGCCTATGCTTGCTCGGACTTCATGCTTGAGCACGCAGCGTCGAGGTGGCAACTGATGCCATGACAAGAATACCCACTTGACAGATTCGGGGGCAGACCCGTGCGGAACAGGAAGCTTCAGAGAGTACTGGAGAAAGCAGAGTGCCCAGGGGCTAGAGTAACGATGCCTGCCGCCTGCTCACTCCTCACGCTCCTCCCGCTCCCGCGACGTGGGGGTTCCAGAACGGTGCGGTCATACACCACACGGTAGCCTCGAACTCCCCGAAGGCCTCACCGCACGGTCCGTCACCGCATGGTTCAGGGACCTCGGACGCCCCGATGGCCAGAGATTTTGCGTCGGAGAACGACCAGAGTCACCAAACTGCGCAGTCACACCGTTTCCCCACTACACCGAATCCCCACCGACTCACTGCGCAGTTGGTCCCCGAACCGTTTGGGAGCCCCTGGCAGTCCGCCGACGTCGTATTATTTTCTCGGGAGCGCCGAAAGAGGGGGCCTGGGAGAGGGGGTGGGGCGTGCATCATGGCCAAGGCGTGTGCGCGCACGAGTGGGGGCCACGTTTTGAATGAAGGAGACGGGGCCATGGAATCTGAGGGGCATCTCGGCCCAAGCCGTGACATCCCCCCTCCCCCTCGTCCTCACCTTCCTCTCGGCCGCGCCCCGCTCGCTCGGCGCGCCGACCTCTGGAGGCCTGGACCCCTTCCCCGCGACCGCTTGCTCGTCCCGAGCGGTTGGGTTCGGGGCCCCCGGGCCACGGGCAAGGGCGGCCGAGAACGCCCGCAGACACCTTCGGCCGCGAGTCGCTTCGCGCCGCGCCGGGACCTGGAGCCCTCTGCACCCCGCGCTCCCCGGCCCTCCCCGCTCGTCCACATCCCCGCGTGCACCGCCCGGCGATCGGGCGCCCGGGCCTTGAAGGCGTTGAATCCGCCGGCCCCCTCGGGGCCTGCAATGGGGGCGTCTGTGCGCACGCCCTCTGCGCCGTGTCTCCCCAGCTGCGCGCGGAGGCGGCGAGCACGCTTGTCAAGTTGCAAAAGGCGGCATCAGGAGCCGACAGGTACCGTCTAGTACTGTCCCATGGGTTGAAGCACTCGGAGCGCAAGGCTGTGCGAAAGGGCCGAGCGCTCTAGACGCAATTAACCCAGACACGACAGTATACTTCTGTGCATAAAGACCCCGAACAGCTGAACCAAAGCGACGACAGATCCACTCAGTGAGACTGGCAGCCCTGAGTTGGCGGCCGCGGGGCATAGGCGCCAACGGTCCCGAAAAAGCTTCTCGGATCGCGAGCGGTAAGGCTTCGGGTTGCGCACGCCCCCAGAGCAGAGCCGACCCGCATAATGAGGACACACGCTAATGTTAAGTCGGCCGTGTCCTCCTACAGAGGAGTTATATAACAAATACTTGAACATACTCGTCAACAAAAATTGAAGAAATAGTCCCCAGACAATGGTTTGACTATTTTCTAATATTCCTCCTGTAAGGGGACAAGCCTGACTTAACGATAAGGATGCAAAAGCCTTGCTTGGAGGGCCAGTCGACGCTCCGCGAGCGGGGCGCCGCCGGCGAGAGCGGCCAGAGATGGCCCGAAGGGGACGGATGCAAAGGTGACCTTGGAAAGTCGCTCATCCCTGCTATTAAGTCGGGCGTGTCCCCCTACAGGGGGATCTTGGACGAAGAATGAACACAACAAAAACAAAAAACAAAAATACTCTCAAAGGGTTGAGGAAAATTCAAAACAGTGTCCCCAGAATATTTGTTTACTATTTTTGAATATTCCCCCTGTAGAGGGACAGGCCCGACTTGACCCTACTATGCGGGCGGTCTGCAGTCCCAACTGCAGCTCACGTAGCTGATTTTCCCGGCGCCTCCCGGCGCCAAAGGCGGCTATGTATCGAGGAATGGGCCCCGCGGTGAGGCCGAAACCAGCTGCACGCAGCAGATTTCGTACCCCCCCTTTCCCTTGGGGGTCTTCTGACCCGGGTCAATCCAGACCCAGGTCGGGTAAGCCAATATGCGCGGCCGCCTCGCGGCCACGAGCGGCTCGCTAACCCGGGTCAGCCAGAGGGGGTCTTCGCAGGATCCTGCAGGATCGGTGCCCTGGCTGACCCCCGTTTGCATTGACCCCCGTCTCAAGGCTCCCGATTCTCAATCCCTTCCTCTCGTCCGGTCCGAATCATGTGTATGTCTACAGGTCGTCCCCTCCCAGCGCTCTTCCCGGCAGGCACGCCGAGGGGCGGCCCCCGTGGGAGGGTCGCGAGGAGACGTGCGCACGGAGCGCCCGGGGGAGCCCCCGGGAGGCCGAGATAGTCCTCTGGGGACCGGGGGGCGGTGGGGCCCGTGTTGGGACCCCTTTCTGAAGGGGCCCTGGGACACACAAAGAAATACACACAAATACAAAGATTCCCCACATTTCCCCATATCTTCTGGGTTTTCGTCTTCCCCCCACTTCCCATATTTTCCGATTAATTGTGTCTGTGTGTGTTTCCCCCTCCTCAGAGATAATGCTCCGGGGGCGGGGGGGGGCGGCGGGGCCCGTGTCGGGACCCCTTTCGTCCGGCCCGACACTGTGCGGGTGGACTGCAGTCCCAAAGGCCGGGGCGGTCCGACCACACGTCGGCCCAGGAGAGGGCGCGCGAGCGCCCCAGTGGGGCGCCGCCGGAGGCAGCGCGGGGAGGTGGAGACCGCCCCAGGGTCCAGGGTCCAGGAGCCTGTCGTGGCCAAGAACAAAACACATTCCCAATCTCAAAATCGCGGATCCACCGAGGACTCGAGGATCGGCAAAAAAGAAGTCGGGATATATGGTCTGCGATCGTCGTTACCCCCCAGGCAAAACCCGACCCCGAAATCTCCCCCCCCGAAACCTCGGCAAGCCTGTGTTCTATGCTGGCCCTCGCATTTTCGGGATTGGGCGTCTATTTTGAGTTGGTGACATGCCCGCCCGGACCACTCAGGGGGCCTGTCGAAGCCAGCCGGAGCCACCTGGGGGGGGGGGGGCCGTCGGTGCGCAACCCGAGCCCTTACCACCCGCGCGTGGCTCGACATCCAGCGAGATGATGCTCTGAGGTGCCACCGAGCTGGAGTCCTGTCGGGAACCAATCGAGGATGAATGGGCGACGCGGGGCGATGCATCCCCTCCTCAGCCTACCCCTCAGCCCAACGTTGCCCCGCGGTTTCCGGGCCATGACTAAGCTCTCCGGCGGCCGTTCGGGACGATAAAGCGGCACCCCCGGGCAGCCCTCGGCGAGGCTCGGCTGCTTGGAGGCATCCCGAGGCCGGAGAATGCCCAGGGGCCGCCGGAGACGTTCGGAAACCTCTCACGCCTCGAGCCTCGAAGCTCCGCCCCCTCTGAGGAGGAGGAGGAGGAGGAGGAGGAGGAGGAGGAGGAGGAGGAGGAGGAGGAGGATCAGGAGGAGGAGGAGGAGGAGGAGGAGGAGGAGGAGGAGGAGGAGGAGGAGGAGGAGTGGAAGAGCCTCTTATCCCCCCCGTGCCTCTGGAGAGCGAGACAGACGGGGTGGGGCGGCGACCGGCCGCCAGGCGCCCGGGATATGTGGTCCCAGTGGGGCGCCGCCCACTCGAGGAAGGCGTCCGCCGCGGGCAGCGCCGACGCCGCCGACCGGGGGCTCCCCGCCGCCAGCGCCGCCGGCAGCGCCTGAGGCGAAGCCAATCGGCGGGAGGCTGGGAACACTTAGGACGCCGACGCTGGGGGAAACGGAGATGGACACCGTCAAAGGCCTTGGAGGGCCCCTCCCGAGGCTTTTCGAGCGCGGCGCGGCCAGCGAACGCGGCCAAGGATGGGCCGAAGGGGCACGGATACAAGGGTAGCCTTGGGAAGGCTGCACATCCTTATTATTAGAGGCCTCCTAGATGGGGTCGGAGTAGATAGGGTCGGAGGATTGCGCTGCATCGCCGACACATCGCGATGCATTGGCGATGCATCGGCGACGTCGGCGATGCGTCGGCGACGTCGGCGTGGAGAAAATCGGGCTCCGCATCGAGCCGTATCGTCGATGCATCGGCGATGCGGCGCGATCCTCCAACCCCATCTACTCCGACCCCATCTAGGAGGCCCAGAATTATGCGGGTTGACTATAGCGTGTCGCGCCCAAGCGGGGTGGTCCAAGACCAGCGGAGCGACACGATGCGCAAAAGTCCTCGACCTTCTCCGTACCAGCCGTACCCCCTGCCCCATATCCACAGCTTGGCGGCGAGCGACGGGGGGGGGGAAGTGAGAGGGATGAGGCCCTCTCAGAAACCTCGCTCGCCCCCGAGCCAAGACTGGGAGGACATCGGGCCGGGGCGGGTCGGGGCTCTTTGAAGGCGGGAGGCTCTCCGGAGGATCGATCGGGCGCCGCGGCCGCTGCAGAGCGCCGTGCAACGCGCTGAGATAGGAGAAAGAGGACTACGTTTAGGTCGGGCATGTGCTCGTACAGGCGGAGCTTGGCAGAAAGACAAAACATTGCCAACACATGTGCAAACATAGTCAAACCTGCTAAAAAAAACATCGTCTCCAGGCTATTTCTAGACTATGTTTGAATACTCCTCCTGTGGAGGGACGTGCCCGACTCAAGACAGCGCGCACTGCACCGAGCATGGGCAGGCCCACCCTGGCCTGAGGTCTCTGTGCACACGCTCACCTGGCTCGGCCAGCGAGGCACACACACACACACCGACCCTGAGCTCGTGGTGAGCCTGGCCAGGATCGGCATGTGTGCACAGCTCCCGTGTCCCGACCCAGAACCCCCCTCGAGTCATGGAAACATCACCACCCGAAGCTTCTCGCTATGTTCGGCCTCTGGGAGCCCACACCGGGCCTCGGGACCGTCTAAAAAACAGCTCAGGATGAAAAGCCAGTCCTGCTCCTCCTCCTCCTGCTCCTCCTCCTCCTCCTCCGCCTCCTCCTCCTCCTCCTCCCCCTCATCCTCCTCCTCCGCCTCCCCCCCCTCCTCCTCCTCCCCCTCCATCCTCCTCCTCCTCCTCCTCCTCTAATCCTCCTCCTTCTAATCCTCCTCCTTCTACTCCTCCTCCTCCTCCTCCTCCTCCTCCTCCTCCTTCTAATCCTCCTCCTCCTCCTCCTCCTCCTCCTCCTCCTCCTCGTCCACCTCATGACGTCGGGGGACTGTGTCGCTCCCTCCTCCCGGCCGCAGAGCGGTCCGCCCGATAGGCCTCCGGGGCCTCGCTGCAGAAGCCGCTGTCGTCGTCCTGTCGGGGGCGGCCACGAGGGGGGCGCCCAAGAGGGGGTCGGGGATCTTCGGACCCGGGTCAATCCAGACCGGCAGTCAGCAGGACACCAAAAACCTGCAACGCAGGTCTTCGCAGACCCGGGCCTTCGCAGGATCCTGCAGGATCTGGTGCCCTGGCTGACCCCTGTTTGCATTGACCCCCGTCTCAAGGCTCCCGAGGGGGGGGGCGCAAATCATGGGCGGCGGCATGTGCGCGGCCTGGGGGGGGACCCCGGGACGTGATGAAAGAAGAAGAGGCGCCGTGAAATCTGCGGAGGCATCATATGGCCCCGTCATGATTGAAGGGGCCCCAGGACACACACAAATAAATACACACACAAATAACAATTGTCCCTATCATTTCCCATATTTTCTGGGTTTCTGTCTCCCCCCCCACTTCCCATATTTTCCCACACACATTCCTGGGAATCGACAATTAATTGTGTCTGTATGTTTTTCCCCCTCCTGAATGATATCCATCCCCCCCCGAGTCATCACCCCCCTCTTCGCCGCCCCCGATCCTGGGGCTGCCACTCCGTCACCTTGACGGGGACCGCGCCCCAGCCGGCCTCGGAGCGCGCGCGCCCGCAGGGAGGGTTGGGAGGCCACTCTCTCGGGAGGTCTCCGCTGCCCCGAGAGCCGGGCGCTGCAATGCTTTTCACAGCGGGGGTGTTCGCCCAATTTCGGGCCCCGGGGCCCTCACAGATCGATCCGGCTCGGAAAACGACGCAGAAAGATACTCCAGATTTCGTAATAAAAGGGAGGGGGTCTGGACCCTCCAAGACAAGCCATTTCAGACCCCCCCCGGTGGGAGAACCCTCCAAAACATCGTCCCCAGACCCCCCCAGGCCCTCCAAGATAGCTTGGAAAAGACCCCCCCCCCGAAATGAGACCCCCCTCCCTTTATTACGAAATCTGGAGTACGGTCCGGGGCTCTGGGCGTGTTTCTTTTCTGCGGTGTTGCAACTTTTCGTTGCAGCGTCGGATCTCAGGGCATGGCGAGGTAGAGTCCCGAAGCCCGACCGTTCAGCTGGGGGAGGCCGGATGCGGCCCAGGCTAGAGCTCGACCAAGCCAAATTAGACTCATGTTCAAACGGGATTATCCTAGATCGGGCCGGTTCCCGACCACGCATAGAGTCGGACCTGGGCCAGAAGAACACCCCTCCAGAACATGAGACCCTCCGTCGGCCAAAACAAGCAGAACATCCCAGGGTACCCTCCCCAGGGTGCACACGAGCATCCAGCGACCAAACAGAAAAACGAGGGCACCCTCCCCGAACCAACCTCCTCTTTTCTACCTCGGCTCGACCGCATACCAGCGGCGATGCCGACTCTGACCTCGCAGGAGTCGCATCCTGACCCAGACATGCGACGTCCTGATCTTGTCAAGACGACGTCCCTGGAAGTCCCGGCCCTTTCCCCGGGACCGGTATTTCGTCCCGAGTCGTTTTTTGACAGTCCCGAGGCCCGGCGAAGGCCCCCCCGAGGCCGAAGATAGCCAAAAACCTCTCGTCCTGTTTCATGTTTTACGGCGCGACCATGTTCGGGTGGCGCTCGGCGCTGCTCGCAGGGCTCAGAAGGGGGGCCCTCCTTCGACCCCGGGGGCCACCACGCGCGTCGCTCGAGGCTCGCTGCGCCCACGCGCGCACGGCCTGTCGCCCTTCCGCGTTCCAGGCCTGCTCCATGCTTCTCAGCGTGCACCCTGCCCTTGGTAAAGAAACGTCGAAGATGAGGTAAAGAAATGATAGTACAAATGACAATAAGAAGAATCATAAGAAACATATCAATAAGAACAATAAGAAAAAGAAGAAGAAGAAGACGACTAGTACTAAGGAGAAGAGAAAGAAGAAGCTCAGGAGCGACTGAGGAGAGCATGACAACGCTTTGGCCTACGTTCCAGGGGCACCACCATCCGAGCGACCGCCTCGTCGGCAGACTCGGACCCTCCGCCAGGGGGCGCTGCTGGTGCCGATCCGACCCAGCCCAAGAGGAAGGGGAGACAATGGCCACACGAGAGCGAGAAGCGAGACAGGCCCCCCCCCCACACACACCAGGTGTGTCATTACCAGCCTGGAACATATCCCTATCCCTATGCTGGGCACCTCCTCATCACGATGCCAATCTTAGGGATTCCCTTACTTTTGGATGGCGAATCCCTAAGACTGTCATCGCCTTTTGGCGTGTCAATCTTAGGGATAGGGATACGCTCGAGGCTGGTCATGTCAGGAGGACTATAAAAAAAACATAGATATTAAATGCTCGTTCTGGGGGCCTTCTTGGAGCCGCTCGCTCCCCTCGCGCGTCGAAACTGCGTCGAACGTCCGCCGACTCGAGTAGAACCTGAGTCGAATCCGAGTCGAACCTGAGCCGAACTCGAGCCGAACTCGAGTCGAACTGGACTCGAACAGATCCGTTAGGTGGGCCCCAGAAAGAGGTCCCCAATACGAGCATCGACGGAAGAGGAGGGGCCGCAAAAGGCAACGACACTTAAGTCGGGCCTGTCCCCCTACAGGGGGATTTCGATAAACGATAGAAGATTCCCAACACATAATCAAAACATGATCCAAAAATAATATGAGGACTATTTTTAAGTATTTTTTCGATCAAAATCCCACTGTAGGGGGACATGCCCGACGTAAAACGACACCGAGAGCGACGCGACTCCGCGTGCCGCCCCATGAGAGGAAGGCCTGCCGACCCGGCGGCGCAGCACGCCGCCGCGCCGTTCGGCCACGACCGCACCGGGGAGGCACAAGGCTCGAGCTTTAGGTCGGGCCCGTCCTCCCACAGGGGGATCCTGGAGGAACGAAAAAATAAGAAAAAAAATGCTCCCAACATGGTAAACAACATCAAAGAGAATAGTCCCCAGACTATTCTTTGACTACTCTTGAAGAAAAAATAATAAAAACATGCTCCAAAATGGTCAACAAAAATCAAAGAATAGTCCCCAGACTATCCTTTGATTATTCTTGAATATACTCCTCCTGTAAAGGGACAGGCCCGACTGAACTCAAGCTCGGGGGGCTCGGGTTGGCCCCACGCGTCCCTCAGGAGAACGACGAGGCCCGGCCGGAAGTCCGACGCGAGCCCCCGCCGCAGGCCTCCCACGAGCACCGGGCCGCGCCGACGTCCAGGACGCGCTCGTCTCCCAGGAGTTCCGGCGTGCTCGAGTCTGGGGCTTCCCCGACCTGGCCATCGCTCGGACGTCCATTTCCTGAGTTTTTGTCCGGTTTCGTGCGTGGGTTTTTTTCGCCAAGTGATCGAGGATGCTCCTCGATGGTCCTCGCCGAGGGGAAAAATGCACACGTCCGAGCGATGCCAAGCGTCAGAGGCTGCCAGGCCCGCCCTGTGCGAGGGCGGGCACGGCAGCCTCGGAGGAGGAGGGGGTGCAGGCAGGGGCGGAGGCACGGATAGGGGGTGGAGGCGGAAGCGGGGGTGCGGGAGGCGGAGAAGGGAAGGACGCGGGAGAAGAGGAGGGACGTTGACGGGACGCGACGTTTTTGGGAGACACGGCATTGCAGATTTTTCACCATCTGCCCACCACCCGAAGAAAACGCTCGGCTGTCTCACGACGGAGCAGCTGTTTTGGCCGCGGCGCTGGACATCGCGCAGCGCGGCGATGTTTTGGGAGAAACGGGAGGCGATGTTTTGGGAGGAACGGCATTGCAGATTTTTCACGATTTGCCCACCACCCAGAGAAACTGCCCGGCTGCCTCACGAGCTGTTTTGGCCGCGGCGCTGGACATCGCGCAGCGCGGTCGCAACCTCCGCGGGATCGCTGCAGGGCGACTCGCGCAGGAGGAGGCGCGGCACCGGTTGAGGAGCCACCGGGACAAGGCACGGGGGGCCCTCCGCGGATACAGCGGAGCACACCACGGGCGCCCGGGCCCAGGCAAGCAACGCGGCGGCGAGGACCCGGAGACGACCCGAGAGCGGCCCGGAGGACGGCCACCGCCCCGACTCGGGAGGCCCTACCGATCGGGGCCCCGGTGCGAGGTGCCGATCGATCGGAAGAAGTAGGTGGAAGCATGAAGTAGGAAGGCGTTGGAAGTTGATCGGGCCTCCGCCCGCCCCCTGAAGAGGAGGGAAGAGGGGAAGCCGCTCGAGCATTGAAGTAGGAAGGCGCAGAACGTTGATTGGAACCTGGGATCCCAAAAATACCTACTTGAGGGCAAAGCAATTGAAGCCGAGCCCTTGCCCAGCGAACGATGAAACTCCACACTGCCACCCGCTTGATGAGAAAACAACTGCTCCGAGGTCGTCCCTGGCCCCCTCCCAGACTCCATCATGGCAAACTCTTGACCCTGGATCGATTCCTGATGCTCCCCTGGACCCGGGCCCGAAGCGGCCCCGCGCAGGTGCCCAAATCGAGGAAAAACCTCCAGCGCCATTCTGCCTGACGCCCTCCAAAAACAGCCCAAAATATCTGCCATCCCAACCAAGCAGGAACGATTCACGAACCCATGAAAAGATTTAGATCTGACCACCTTGCGTGATGCATCCTTATGGTACCTCGTCTCCCCCTCGCCTTGCGCAACGTGGCCTCCACATCCTCTCGCCGTCACCTGTTGGTTAGCCTCCTTTGACATCACCACTTAGGGCAATCAATGAGACGTAAAAAAACAACACGCCTCGTCTAATATTCCGTCCCTATCGGCAAGCCTCGTCTGACATTCCCCCGAAAACATCGGTGCCCCCACTTAAGAAGACGTTCGATGGTTTACAGGGGCGAGCCAAGGGAAGCGCCAAGAAAGGATCCAAGTGATGCGTCAGAGAAGAAGCCGGGCAACGCCACGGAACGTGGCAGGGTACGTGTCAGGTGACGAGCCAGAACGAACCAGGGGACACGCCAGGGGACGCGCCAAGTGACGTGACAGGAGACGTGCGACGAAACGTGGCAGGGGACGCGCCAGGAGATGCGCAAAGGGTTGCGCAACGGGACGTGTCAGGGGAGGCGCCAGGGAACGCACCAGGGTACGTACCGAGTACCGAGCTAGGCCACGTGCCAGGGAACAAGCGAGGGGTCGTAATTACCAGGGGACATGCCGCTTGACGTGCAAGGGGGACGAGCAAATTGAGGTACCAAGGGACACGCCGCAGGGGACACGCCAGGGATGGCTCCAGGAGACGCTCAGTGGACCTGCCCAGGGTCGCGCCAGGGAACACGCCAGCGTGAATCTGTTTACGGAAAAGACTGCATACTCACATAACTTATGGAAGCTCCGCGCGGATCTCTCGGATCGACTCCAAACCCCCCTCCCTGGCGCGCAAGCGCGCGCCAGGGGCGTCACTGGGGATGCTGCCATAATCGGGCCCCAACGGCGACCCAAGAAGTCCGCACGGACCTGTGACAAAAAGTATGCTGATGCAGTGTGTCACGCTGAGGAGGAGGAGGAGGAGGAGGAGGAGGAGAACCAGGAGCTCTCGGATCTCCGTGCGGATCTCCTCCACCTGCGCTGGGCCCCCCCCTCCCGGGCGGCGGAGCGCGCCAGTGGCCGCGCCAGAGGCGCCGCCAGGAGGGATCCAAGAAATCTGCGCGGACCTCCGACAATGCATGACGATGCCGTGTTTCTTCTTCGGGGTGGGAGGACCGACCCTGCCAAAATGGCGTCTTCCTCATCCAGCTGATCCTCCTCCTCCCTCCTCCCTTCCCCTTCCTCCCGCCTCCCCCCCCTCCTCCTCCTCCTCCTCCTCCTCCTCCTCCTCCTCCTCCTCCTCCTCCTCCTCCTCCTCCTCCTCCTCCTCCTCCTCCGCCCCCCTCTATCGTCCCCTTCTTGGGGCATGTGCGCTGCATGTGCACTCCCGTGATGAGAGCGGGCCGCTGCGCGCGCGAGGGGGTCCTCCTGAACCGCGTGGCTGCCGCCGGTGGCGGTGGTGATCTCGCTCAGCGGCGTCTCGGGCCCGGGGCTGGGCGCCCTCGCGCGGCCTGCTCTCGTCGCACTCCTCTCCTGCACTCGCGGGGCAGTTCCTGGGAGGCCCTCGCTGGAGCGGTCAAGGGCCATCAGGGGGCGCGCCAGGAGACACGCCAAGGGACGAACCAGGGGATGCGCCACGGGGTGTGCCAGGGGACGTGCCAAGGGACGTGCTGCGCGACGTGCCGCGCGCCAAGTGACGGCCCAGGGGGCGCGCAAGGGAAGGCGTCAAGAGGAATATCACTGGGTGCGCCGCGGGGTGCGCCAAGGAACGCGCAAGGGGACGTGCCAGGGAACGCTCACCCAGGGCAGCCCTTTTTTCTAATAGATGCTGAAAATGGCCCTGGACATAAGCCAAGGGACGTCACAAGGGGCGTTGTTTGCAAAAGGTTCTACGCGGGGGGCGCGCCGTCCTCGAGAGGGCACGCTGGGGGTCCACTTCCTGGGATGTGACAGTCCTAAGCATCCAGGGCTCTGTTGTTCAAGATTTTGCGCAAATGCCCCCCCCTTGTCTGGGTGAGCGGGGTCTCCGAACCTTGCGATTCGTCTGAAGTCCCAGAAGGGGGGGTGTGGGGGGGCAATGTACTTGAGCGCGCGCGCTTGTCCTCTTCCGTCACGCCACGGGGGACAAATCTACAGACTAACAAACAGCCCGCTGCCGAAGCATTCTCGCAAGGGGAATGAAAACAACACACACACACACAAACCTTAACCATCGCACACATGGTACGATGTGTCTCTCGAACCCGATGTGTCGCAATCGACGTGGTGCAACCAATTTTGTTCACAGTTGGTTGTCAGACCGACTGCATGCGAAATCACCCCGCCCACCCGCCCTCAGCTTCGTTTGCAAAACCCATGCAACGGCGATTGCGATGGCTGTCCGGCGATTGCGAAGGCTCGCACGCAGAACGCCCAGCAGCAAACTCTGGCGCGACCGGCGCGGCCCCGGCGGCGCTGACCGCTGATAACTACCCTGGCGGCGTACCAAGCCCCTGCGCAATGCTGGGCAAAGGTAGTCTGGGACACTATATGTGGGGGGGGGGGTAACATGGTGGGGCCTTCAATGGAGCTTACATTCAGCACACCTCTCGCGCACTTCGCGTACCATCATGGACCCCGAATGCAAACCGCTGACCTGCGGAAGCGGCAGCAATGGGACGCGGGGGCGCATGGGGAAGTGGGGTGGGGGCTGGAGGGAAAGCATACACAGGTTACCTCTGGATCGCGTTATGGCATCAGTGAAAAGATATAGCAGCAGGAAAAAAAACGACTGGAGGAAGTAACGGACGACGAGAGGAGGGCAGCGGAAGCAGGGGGACCATGTTTCGAGGCAAGCCAACAAACAGGCGCGGTCAATGCAAGAAATCTGCAAGGCCGAACTGCTCTGCCAACAGCTGGGCCTCTTTCCGGTATTTTTCGATGCGGGAGCTAGAAGCACGCAGGCGCGCCGCGAGGTGCGCGGACGGCCCGCGAGAAAAGAAATGCAGCCCCGGGTCTCCCCAGCAAGCTTCAAAGAGGCGACGGTGTCAAAGATCGCAGCCCCCCAAAGATGGCAAGGTCTAATTTGAATCTGCGGCAGTTGCCCACTATGCTGGCACCCCAGCAGGCCTCGAAAGTGGCGGCGCCTTCACAGATCTCAGCCCCCCACAGAAACGAGGTCAAATTCCCATCCGCGTAGGACGCCACTGTGCTGGACTCCCAGCAACCCTCGAACGTGGCGGAAGTTTCGCAGATCGCAGTCCCCCAGGGTTGGCGAGATCGAGTTTGCATCTGCGACAGTTTCACAGATCAGCCCGCACCCCCAAGGATGGCGAGGTCTAACCTGCATCCGCGTGACACGTCACTATGCTGGACCCCCCAACAATCACCGAACGTGGCGACCGTCTCACACATCGCAGCCTCCCAGGGACGGCGAGGTCGAATTTGCATCCGCGTAGGACGTCACTGTGCTGGACCCCCCAACAGCCCTCGGAGGTGGCGACCGTTTCACAGACCGCAGCCCCCCAAAGACGGCGAGGTCGAACTTGAATCCGCGTAGGACGTCACTGTGGTGGACCCCCCCCAGCAGGCCTCGGAAGTGGCGACAGTTTCACAGATCGCAGCCCCCCACGGACGGCGAGGTCGAATTTGAATCTGCGTGGGACGTCGCTACGATGGACCCCCCAGCAGCACTGGAAAGTGGCGACAGTTTGACATATCGCAACCCCTCAGGGACGGCGAGGTCGAACTAGAACCCGCGTAGGACGTCACTGTGCTGGACCCCCTTTGCAGCCCCGAAAGTGACGACCGTCTCACACATCGCAGCTCCCCAGGGCTGGCGACGACAAGTGTGGATTCGCGTAGGACGTCACTGTGGTGGACCCCCCCAGCAGGCCTCGAAAATGGCGACAATTTCACATATCGCAGCCCCCCAGGGACGGCGAGGTCTAATTTGAATCCGCGTAGTACGCCACTGCGCTGGACCCCCCAGCAGCACTCGAAAGTGGCGACAGTTTCGCAGATCGCAGCCCCCCAGTGTTGGCGAGATCGAGTCTGCATCTGCGTAGGACGTCACCGCGCTGGACCCCCCAAGCAGCCCCCGAAAATGACGACAATTTCACAGATCGCAGCACCCCAGTTAGCGAGGTCGAATGTGTATCCGCGTAGGACGTCACTATGCTGGACCCCCCAGCAATCCCCGAAAGTGGCGACGGCTTCACAGATCGCAATTCCCCAACGATGGCGAGGATGAATTTGCATCCGCGTAGGACGTCACTGTGCTGGACCCATGGAGACGCTTTCACAGATCGCAGCCCCCCAAGGGATGGCGAGGTCGAATGCGAATTTGCGTACGACGTCAGTGCGCTAGACCCCCAACGACCCTCGAAACTGGCGACAATTGCACAGATCGCAGCCTCCCCCCCCCCCCCCGGGGCAAGACAGGAGGAGGCAGGAGGGAGGCGGGAAGGAGAGAAGGAAGGTCGGAGACCACAGTGCACGATTCAAAACGAATACCCATCCAGGAATGGTTGGGAACACATCCCAGCGCGCTTTGCAGGCCGAGCTGCCGCGCGGGCACTTCAGCTGCGAGTCGGTGACCCGGGCGGGCAACGTACCATGACGACGTCGACAACGGCAGGCACGCTTATGATAGGCGGCGCTGGTGACGAGAATGGCCTTGACGACGGCAAGGCCAATGACGGCGCCGATGCTGATCACGCCAATGGCGATGATGGTGTCCACGTGTCGGTGATGCAAATGTCGAAATTTCGACATGCGCCCGCGGCCGGCGCGCGCGAGTGGCCCGCATGGCACTATTTGAAAAGGACCGTGTCCACCAACACGCGCGCCACGAAATGCGAACGACTTCGACATGCGGTCGCGAAAGGCACGTTTAGCCAAATTGAATGAACATGGTGAGCAACATCTGGTTACCCCAAGAATTCGCAGGAACGGGCGCAGTTCATTTCTTGTGTGTTGCAAGTGCCTGCTGTAAACCCATGCGTGTGTTTCTGTATGCTCTCGGGGCACACGATTTCCAAATCTGTTCGAGAAGAAGTGTTTGAAGGATTACGGCATGCGCACGCGACGACGCGCGTGTGCACACTTTGTCACGCTTTTTGTTTACACAAGGTTTTTGCGACAGCACGCGCGCAGGGGGCGCTCGAAGGATTTCGACATGCGCGCGCGAAAGCCACGTTTAATTGCATCTGATGGGACTGTCGAACAACGTATGGTTGTCTTGAGAAATCGCATGGGCGCGCGCAAGCACTTTTGAACACTCGTGCTGCGAAGCCACTTATTTTTGTATGTTACGGGGTTCTCGGGTTTGGCATCCTTTCGGAACAATGGGTTGGTGATGGATGTCGGAATGCGCACGCGCACTGCGTCCCATTCCTGCGAAGTGTGAACTGTTTATAATTGAGTGTGCGCGCATGCGGTTTTTCTTAAACAAACGGCAGAGGGAAGTACTACCGGCTACCGGCTCGGCTGGGACCATGTGAACTCGAATGAAAAAAACAACGATGGTGCAGGACCATCTGAAAATTGCACTATCCCAGCGGGTAGAAGTCTGGCCTCGGGCGGGTGGTGGAATCGACTTCTTAAGAACTGACAAAGCAATATGTGTTGCAACCTATGTTGTGAAATCTATGTTGTGCAGCCTATGTTGTGCAACCTGTGTAGTGCAACCTATGTTGTGCAAGCAATGTTGTGCAATCGCCCTTGTGCAACATCTGCGGTGCTACCTCCGTGGCAAACTCTTTGCGTTGCAGTCTAGGACGAGCTATATGCGTGATGCAATACATGTGGTGCAAACTGTGTGGTGCAACATTGGTGGAACAACATATGTTGTCCAATGAGTGCTGTAAAAGATCATCGGTGCAACCTGGAATGTGCCGTATCTACGGCGCAATCGATGTGGCACAATAGATGTTGTGCAATCCATGTGGGGAAATCTGTGTGGTACAGCATACGTGGTACAATAAATTTTGTGCAACTGCGCAGGAGCAATAAATAGATATATATGCGTGTAGTGCAATATGTGTTGGGGAATTTATACAGGGCAATATCTGTGGTGCAATCTATGTGGTGCAATCGAAGTGGAACCATCTATGTGGTGATGTCGAATTGCACAATCTACGTTGTGCAATATATGCAGAACCAGATGCGTTCTGCGATACATGTTGTACAGCCTATGTGGTGAGACCTGCGAAGTGCAATATCTATTGTGCAATCAGCGTGGTGCAATATATGTGATGCGCTCTACGTCGTGAACTAGATTGGGTGCTACGTTTGTAGTGCAGTTTTTGTTGTGCAATGTAGGTGGAACAAGCTATGCGGTGCAAGCTACGTGGTGCAATTCATGTCGACGTGGTGCAGTCTAGACGACGACATACATGGTGTTCAGTCTACGCTGTGCAATCGATGTGCCGCCATCTATATCGCGCTATCCAAGTTGTGCAAGGTTGCCTTGTGCAATATATATATATATATATATATATATATATATATATATACATGCAGTACGATCTACGCGATGCCATCTACTTGGTGCAATTCCTATTGACCAATCCACGTCGAGCAGTCGATGTCGAGCAGCCGATGTGCCGGCGAAGGGGCGGCGACGGGGTCGGCGACAGGGCGCCGACGACGGCAACGTACAGCCGCCAAGACCGGCAGACGGGCCCCGCGGCGACGGGCGGCAACGGGACGCCGGCGCGGCGGCGACGGCGACTGCACAGCCGTCGGAGCGACGCACCGGGCCAGGGGACGGGCGGCAACGGCGACGGAGCAGCCGCCAGGGCGGCACACCCTCGCCATCGCTCGGATGCCCAGTCCCTGTGTTTTTGTCGGTTTCGTGCGTGGTTTTTTTTTTCGCCAAATGATCAGGGATGCTCCTCGATGGTCCTCGCCGAAGGAAGAATGCACACGTCCGAGCGATGCCAGGCACCAGCCCGGTACGCTAGACAACAATGAAGAATCCCTGAGTGCAAGCACTGCTTAGATAACCCTCGGAAATCCACATCCACACGTGCGGTCTGGGTCGGAGCTGGAACCCTCCGCGCCGCCCTTGGGCGCCGCCTGCGGCGCCGTCCTCGGCACACTCCGCGCGACGTGGAAGACGTGTGGGGAGAGGGGGGTCAGCGCAAAGGCAAGAGATCTGCGCGGACCTTCGCAAATTGATGTTTTTGCAGCTTTCTGTGATTCTATACTCTTTCTGCCCACTCCGCCGTCCATTGTCGTCAATACGCGAGGCAATACGGAGGATCTGGATGTGCTGGCGTGAGGCCACAGGCGTTGCAGAATTCGACCCCCCCTTTATGACCCACAGCCACGCGAAACTCTCAATGAGGCGCAGCTGGGTGGTGAGAGGTCCTTGAGCTAAGCTAAGCGCTACTCATCCAAGCATATGTGTCACGCGCTGCGAGCCATTCTGCTACATGTATTGTTCTTTGCCTGCGCCAATATATGCTCCCTGCAAGAAGACTCTCCCTGGAGAGAAAGACGCGCATCAAACATCGGTTCGAAAGTTTTGGCGAACATCGCCCAACGTGCTTTTTGAGTATGTGCCCCCTCCCTCCCCTCAAACATCGATCCTCAGCCCTCTCCCGGTGTATGCTCCCACAAAAAAATATATAAGGAAAACCAGCCGCGGCAATAGACTCCCCAGATGCGCGACATAGGGCGCAATAAGCCCGATAACCTCGAAGCTGCACCTCGATCCCCTTCTGGATCCAAATCCGCTCAAAATCAGCCCCCAGACCCCTCCCGGGTTCGTCCTGGCCAGGATTTGACCCCGGATCAGCTTCCTGAAGCCTCTGCAGGCCGAGATCGAGGAAGACCCTTCCCTCCTCCACTCTAGATCCGCCTGTCCCTGTCTGTCCCCAAGGGTGGGAATCGAGAGTCGACACCTGGACGTGTCACCGTGTGCGTTCTGGTGGCCGAAAACTTCGAGCGCGGAGCGCTGGCGGCGCCAGAGGCGCTGCCAGAGGGGCCTGGCGCGGATCCGAACAACCCGCGCGGAGCGCCAAAAGTTCATGTTTCTGGCGTTTTTTCTTCTCCGAGGGAGGACGCGGCGCGCGGCCACGGCGACGGCGACGGCCACGGCGACGGTCGGTCAGACTGAGGAGCAAGCCAGCCCGCCTTGGACGATGGAGAGGAAGGAAGAGGAGGGAGGAGGAGAAATGAGGATGGAGGAGGAACGAGGAAAGAGAGGGATGAGGAAAAAGGAAATGGGAGGAGGACGACGACGACCATTGACGAATCACGAATGGCATAAACATAGACACTCGGAGGTCCGCGCGGACTTCTCGGATCGGCGCTGGAGCTCGCAAGGGGCGGCACCAGAGGCGCCGCCATGGGCGCTCAGCGCCGATCCGAGAAACCCGCGCGGAAATCAAAACAACTACGTTTGTGCTGCTGTATCTCTTGCCGTCGCTCGGACGTCCATTTCCCGTGCATTTTTCGGTTTCGTGCGTGTTTGTTTCGCTCGATGGTCCAGGATGTTCCTCAAGGGTCCTCGCCGAGAAAAAAATACACGTGCACACCTTGGAGGGAGAGCAGGTACTTGTACCCACGGCGGGACTCGCCTCGACATCTTCGTCGGCACGCGCCCCGGGAGAGGTCCGGAGAGTTAGCGGCATCGATCCCTTTTGGCTTCTCCAGCTCCTCCTCGCCTCGACGGAGATCCTGGCAAACCCGTGGATCTCTATATATATATATATATAGATATAGATATAGATCTATACATACATATATATAGAGAGAGAGACCTCGTCGCTCTATCGGACGACGACAAGCGATCCATAGAAGAAGAAGAAGAAGAACAAACAACCATGTACAAAAGCTTGTTGGCGCTCCGCGCCGATGTCTTGCATCTGCGCTGGGGACCCCCCCTCCCTGGAGCGCGGAGCGCTGGCGGCGCCAGAGGCGCGGTCAGGGGGGCCTGGCGCGGCTCCAGGCAACCCGCGCGGAGCGCCAAAAGTTCATGCTTCCGGCGTTCTGTCTCCCCCGAGGGAGGACGCGGCGCGCGGCCACGGCGACGGCCACGGCCTCGACGACGGCGACGAGGGCGGCGACGGAGCCTCAACGACGGCGACGACGACGACGACGGCGGCGACGACGGCCGAGCCTGTGGCGCCGCGGCCCGGGCCTAAGGCCTGCGGCGAGGCCCTGCTGCGGGCCCCGCGCGCGCTGGCCGCCCGCGCGGGCATGGCCGCGGGGGGCCGGGCGCCGGCGGCGGGGGGCGCCGGGCGCCCTCGCCGCGCGGACGTCTGGGGTTTGGTCGGGCGTGTTGGAGGGAAAACCAAAAATGGCCAAAGAATCTGCAAACATTGTTAAACATGCTCAAGAAGGCCCCAGCTTTTTTTCTATGTTCGAGTCTCCCTCCTGTAGAGGGGCGCGCCCGACGGAAGTCTGGGTACCGCCCAGGCTGGGGGCCCCAACGTTAGTCCGCGCGGTGATAGACCGCGTGGCAGCCCTGCCAGAAAGAGAATGGAGCGACGATGGAAAGCAGGTCTTGCACGCGAGGTGGCATGGCGACCTTGCGCGGTGGCTTACGCGGGCCGCCAGCGCGGCGCCCTACATTGGAGACGAGGGCGCTTACGCGCGACCTTACGCGGGCAACTGACGCTCTAATGTCAGCGCAGACGACACTGCTTGTTTGTGCGTCGCCCACCTATCGGGTTGGATGGGGTTGGGGAGATACGGGGCACGACTGTGTCATAAGCACGCTCGACGCATGCGATATTACGGATGATCTGATACGCTCTCCCAGCCCCATCCTCCCGACCCGGTAATTGCCTTTCTGAACCTCAGAACCCCCAACGACCCAACCGCGCGGCCTGACACCGCACAGCTTTGGGACCTCGGGAGCCCCGGTCGCTCGAGAGACGTGCTCTCCGAGAACGGCGCGGGCCCCCAAACCGCGTGGCGACCACGAGTCCCGCCTGCTTCGCTACGCGGTGTGGTCACCACAGCGTCGGGGGCCCCCGACTTGGGGGGCAACGATGGGGGGGGACTGGCACAGGGGGGCATGCATCGACGTGGAATCGGCGATACGTCGCCGATAGATTGGCGCTGGGCCCTCGATGGTGAATCCGCACCTTCACGGGCGGGTGGGGCCATCAGACCCCTATCGGCGATCTATGGGCGATTGGGGGTCGATGCATCCCTTGAGCTGGGAGCGACCGTCCCGTCATTCCTATAACCCTACCACGGAATGTTCTTAGAACCCAAACATGTTCTAAGAACAAAACAATGTTCTTAGAACATAAACCCGACGTGATACAACAAGACAGCCTCTGCCAGACATGTCCTGAGAACATCTCGTGGAAACCACAATGAAGGTTCTTAGAACATTGATTGGTAGGGGTATAGGCGAGCCAGGACGCATCGCCACTGCTCGGGAGCGGCCAAGACGGGGGTGTCCAAGAGGGGGGGGTGCGAATCATGACCGGCGGCATGTGCGCGGCCCAGCGGGGGGGCCAGGGACGTAATGAAACAAGAAGAGGCGCCATAAGATCTGGGGAAGTATCATGGCCCACGCCATGATATCCACCCCCCCTAGTCATCACCCCCCTCTTTTCCGCCCCCGATTGCAACGTATGCCCCTTCCTGCTCGCCGGCACCGGCGCTGGCTCTAGGGCAGGCCCCCAGCCGGCTCCTAGTCGGCGACTCCAAAGGGTGTGGTTTGCAAAGGGTGTGGTTTGCAACCGGCACCCTGGGGAACATCCTGGGGGGCAGCCTGAGGAGCGCGCGGGGGCCTCGGTAGAGTCCTCCCGCGCCCCGAGGAGGCCCGACGAGGACAGTGTCGTGCCCCCCAGGCCCAGACGGTGCCGATCGCAAACCGCACCCCGGCGTAACCATACCCTTCGTAGTCGCCGACCTGGGCAGGCCGGCCCCCCGCCGGCTCCCTTGCCCCAAAAGGTCCGCGGCAGCGGCGGGGTGGCTGCGTCCCCCGCGCGCGCTCGAGGCGGGGAGGCGGGGGGCCAGCGGGTGGGCGCGCGCGCGCCCCTCTGGGTGATATCGGCAGCTTCTCGAGGTGGAGGAGGGGGAGGAGGGGGAGGAGGAGGAGGAGGGGAGTAGGAGGAGGAAGGAGGGAGGAGGGGGAGGAGGGGAGCGTAGGGGGAGGCGTAGGGGGAAGGGGGAGGGGGGGAGGAGGGGGAGGAGGGGAGGGGGAGGGGAGGAGGAGGAGGAGGAGGAGGAGGAGGAGGAGGAGGAGGATAGGAGGAAGGAGGAGGGAGGGGGGGGGGGGGAGAGGAGGAGGGAGGATGAGGAGGGGGGGTGGAGCGAATGTTCGAGGGAGTCAGGACGGCCGCCATGAAGGCCAGAGCATGGAGCGAATGTTCGAGGGAGTCAGAACAATATCAATGACGCGCCGCCATGTGGGAAGCCGCCACATCCCCGAGCATGCCCGGACGGCGCCCAGTCGCGAGGCGCGAACGTTCGCGGACTTTGCTCCGCCGAGACCGACGCGGACTCCCGCACGCTCGCGTCCCTCTCTCGCTCCCGAGCTCGGGGAGAGGCCTCGTGGACCTCCTCGCCGGAGGCGGCACCCCCCGTGGTGGCGGTGCCGCGCTCCCCCTCATCCCCGGGCGACGCAGACCCAGAGATCCGATGTCCTGATTTTTGTCAGTGCTCGGGAGCGGCAGAGACGGGGGTGTCCAAGAGGGGGGGGGTGCGAATCATGACCGGCGGCATGTGCGCGGCCCAGCGGGGGGGCCAGGGACGTAATGAAATAAGAAGAGGCGCCATGAGATCTGGGGAAGTATCATGGCCCACGCCATGATATCCCCCCTCCCTAGTCATCACCCCCCTCTCTGCCGCCCCCGAAATGCGGGGTTCCCCGGAGGTCCCGACCCATTCCCCGGGACCGCTTTTCCGTCCTGAGTCGTCTCTTGGCGGTCCCGAGGCCCGGCGAGGGCCCCCAGAGGCCGAAGATAGCCAAAGACCTCCCGCCTCGGTAGGAACGACGGGCGGTGTGTACAAAGGGCAGGGACGTCGCGGCTCAGCCAGAGCGTGCCGTGCACCCGGCAGTCCTCCTCTCTTCATCGTCCTCCTCCTCCTTCTCCTCCTTTCTCATATCCTCTCCTCTCTCGCCTCTCCTCTCTCCTCATCTCCCCCCTTCCTTCCTCTATTCGCAGGCCTGTCTGGGGAGGCAGGCGGGCGCCCCTCCGCGGCCACGCCCGCGGCCGCCACCGCTGTTGGCGTGGGCGCCGACCTCTGTGGGCCTCCTGCAGGGGGGCCCCCGTCCGCCCAGGGCCTGGACGCTCGGGGCGCCCAAGAGCGCGCCCGCGGGGGGGGCCGAGGGCGGCGACGGCCCTGGATCCTCGGTCCTCTGCTCCGCGGTCCTCTGCTCCTCACCTCCTCCTCGTCCTGCTCCTCCTCCTCCTCCTCCTCCTCCTCCAGCCTGGATCCTCCTCCTCCTTCTCCTCCTCGGTCCTTCTCCTCGACAATGGATCCTCCTTCTCCTCGGTCCTCCTGGGTCCTCCTCCTCCTCCTCCATCCTGGATCCTCCTCCTCCTCCTCCTTCTCCTTCGATCTTCCTCGACCCACATCCTCCTCGATCCTGGACCCTGCGCCTCGATCCTCCTCGATCCTCCTCGACCCGTGCCCGCCCGCTGGGAGCGAAGGGCGAGGAAGGTCGCGCGCAGGGGAGCGCGTGCCTGGAAGCCCGGCATGTCCCTCGCCAGCGCCGCCACGCGCTCCAGCCAGGCCCACACACCCGGCGGCAGCGGCCTCACGCGCTCCCTGCGGGGCGCCGGCCCGCGCGGTGTGCCGAGCAGGAGCCGTTCCTGGCAACCGATAAGCCATTGCCCTTGCTGGTGTTGCTTTTGACGATGCGATTGTTGTTGTTGGCGTTATTGGCGTTATTGGCGTCGTTGTTGTTGTTGTTGGTGTTGTTGTTGTTGTTGTTGGTGTTGTTGTTGTTGTTGTTGTTGGTGCTGTTGTTGTTGCTGTTGTTGTTGTTGTGGTTGCTGCTGTTGTGTTGCTGTCGTTGCTGATGTTGATGGTGTTGGTGTTGGTGTTGTTGTTATGGTTGCTGGTGTTGTGTTGCTGTCGTTGCTGATGTTGATGGTGTTGGTGTTGGTGTTGTTGTTATGGTTGCTGGTGTTGTTGTGTTATTGCTGGTGTTGTTGTGTTTGGTGTTCCGATGGTGTATGCTTTCCTCGCTTCCTCATCATCATACTTGCGTTCCTCGTCGTCCCCTCTCCTACTCCATAGCATCCTCCTTTCTTTCTGTCTCGCCTCTTTCCCTCTCTCTCTCTCTCGCTCTCTGTGTGTCTCTCTCTCTCCCTCTCTTGTTGTTTTGTTTTGGTTGTTTCTCTCGCTCTCTCTCTCTCTCTCTCTTTCTCTCGTTTTCCTCTCTCTCTCTCTCTGTCTATCTCTCTGTCTCTACTTCTCTCTTTTGGGGAGATCGTGTTCGCTCTCTTCAACGCGCGAGGGGGCCCAAACGATCCTCGAAGCGGTGTGCTCAACCTGGGCGCCTCGTTCCCACCTTCTTTTGACAGCGCGGAGGCACAAGCGATCCTCGAATCCGTGTGTTCAGCCTGGGCGCCGTTCCCCGATTTCGGCCCCCGGAGCCCTTTGCGGGGCCAGCGGCAGCGGCTTGAGGGCGAGCGACCCCCCAGACGAGCGGTCGAGGCCCCAGGGGCCGCGCACCAAAAAAAAAATCAGCCCGTCGGGAGTCTAGCTCAAAGGGGCCTAGGGAGACACACGTCGATCGACAGAGTCTCAAAGCCTTCCCAGCTACTTCGGCCTGCCATGGATCCTTCTCCCCCCCCCAATTCACAGGTTCCCAGGAAACTTTCACGAAACTCAGCGCGTGGATGTGCTTGTGCCGGACGTCCCCTTCTGGTGGTTTCTGGAGAGAACGACGCGACCCCTGGGAGTGCTTCGCCGACTCGGGGGCCCTCGTCCTCCTCGTCCTCCTCGTCCTCCTCGTCCTCCTCGTCCTCCTCGTCCTCCGCGTCCTCCTCGTCCTCCTCGTCCTCCTCGTCCTCCTCTTTTTCCTCCTCCTCCTCCTCATTCTCCCCCTCCTCCTCCTCCTCCTCCTCCTCCGCGTCTTCCTCGTCCTCCTCGTCCTCCTCGTCCTCCTCGTCCTCCTCGTCGTCCTCCTCCTCTTCCTCCTCCTCCTCCTCCTCCTCCTCATTCTTTCTCTCCTCCTCTTCCTCCTCTTCCTCCTCGTCCTCCTCGTCCTCCTCGTCCTCCTCGTCCTCCTCGTCCTCTTCG